CCGCCTCCTCGGCGCTGCCCGCCGCGCCCGGGGGCAGTGTGTTCCCGGCGGGCGGCGGGCCCCTGCTCACGGGCGGCGCGGCAGTGCACATCTCCGCCGCGGGCGCGGCCAAGGCCACCCTCTACTGCCGTGTCTTCCTGCTGGACGGGACCGAAGTGAGCGTGGACCTGCCGGTGAGTGCCCGGGCCGGGCCGCGACACCTGCACCCGCGCCCCATGGGGCAGCGCCCCCAGCCCCCTGCTTCTGTCCCGGGTGCTTGCCCAGCGCCCCTCTGGGATCCCCTCCCCCTTCTCTGCCGGTCCTCTTTAGCTCGGCTCCCTCTCTAGCCACTGGTCGGGGCGCATCTTTGGCCCGCGCCCTCTGCCTGGGACGTTGCGTCTTCTCTGGCGCCCACCTGGTCCTCAGGGCCTCACCCCCTCCCCAGCGCAGCTAGTCCCCGCCCCTCGGCACAGTGGCCGGAGTTCCTAGTCTGTGTTGCCTTTCCGTTCCCCTCCGCCCCCTAGTCTAGCGACCACCTTCCAGATACTGGGTTATTGAGCAGGAAAAATCTCAAAGCAAGGTAGTGCAGCCCTGGGACACCCTACAGCCACCGCGCGCAAACTCCGCTTCGGGCCTGGGTGGGACGGGCAGAGGAGAGCCCCCGTATTTTGTCCGGCAAGTGCCCCAAGTGTGAGGAGACAATTTCTCTTTACTGATCCCCCAAATCTTAGGTGTCCCCACGCCCATCCCACCGAATCCCTCAGGTCCGAAGGCCCTCCAGGGTTGGAGCTATTTAGGAGCTAAACCCACGGACGTGGTCAACTTTGCCCGGCAGAGACCTTGATGCAGCGCTGCGAGTCAGCTCTGGGGCCCCGGAACCTGGTTCAACACCCCCACTCCCCCTCCCCTCGGGCAGCCACACGACCCAGACTGTTGTGCGTGGCTCGGTCGGCACCTGAAGTGGTAGCTATGGGGCCTTGGCCCCAGCCAGCCAGCCTCCCACAGGTGGTTGCACCTCGCCCCGCTCCAGCGGAGAGATGGGCCCGTACTGCTGGCCTCGGCCGGGGCGTCCAGCCTCCGAAGAGGCTTCCTGGCCGAAGGGGCCAGCTCAGATCCCATCAGACCCACACATTAACCGGGCGCCTGCTGTATGCCCTGCGCTGCGGCAGACTGTGCCTTCGGGAATCTCTGGGTGTGACTGAGCACAGCAGTAATTGAGTTTTAGATGAATGTTACAGATCGTCCCGAGGGTTTTAAGGGAAGAAATAACATACCTAGACTTGCAAAGAAATCATTTAGGCCTTTCCGGGTGGCAGGAATTCTTTGGGCTTCAAGACAGAGCTAGGAACATGTAACGGTATTAAGTGGGGAAACCAGAGCCTGCTTGGTTTAGGGTTTAATAATTCCCTGAGTAGATTTAATTTTGAGAGTTTCAATTTATGGCAATGTTATTTTTTGTGGTTGTTGGTTCCCTCCATAGACTGTCATTTTGTTATGAAAATACTCTTCCTGGGCCTTTTTAATCATGGAAAAGGAGCCAGTATTCTGGTGCTTAGAGCTGTTGTCTTTAAAATAGCATTAATGTTACCACTTCCGAAAAATGAGGCTCTCTGCCTTTTGTTCAGCTGTGAGAGGACGCTTTGGAGCCCAGGAGGGGAGGAGAGGTGTGCACGCTGCCTCTGGAGTGGGCAGCTTGGATTTGGAGAAGATGTGGCGTAGTTTGCATCTGAGAAAAGAATGCTATCCTTGGGAACTTCGAAAGTGCTCCTTGCTGGTGGTTTTCTGATCTGTTCCCGAGAGATAATCCATTTATAAATGTATTGCTGCTGTCAGGTTTGTTGGCCCGGCTTAAGTGGTGTTTCTGAGGTGAAGAATGCAAACGGAATAAAGTGCATGCTCGGTAGATTGACAAGGACAGGTACATAGACAAGTGGGTTGGGGAATGCTGACCTATTACAGCCAGAAGAGCCCTGCCAGGAGCATGGGGAAGAGGACATTGGCATCTTCCTTTATAAAAGGCTCCAGAATTCACCCACCCCAAGTTTTCCTCTGATGACAGATTGCTTGATGCCTTTAGGATCAAGAGTTAGTGAATCCCAAATTGTATTTAAATATGCACATGTGTCTGTCTGCCTTGTCTAAAAACAGATAAAAAAGCCAGCCCTAGCTTTTGTCACAGAATAGCCCAGGGAGGAGAGATGAAAAGAAATTACCAGTAAGCACAGCTCATCGATTTAAGGATGTATTAGATATTAGAACTGCAATTGCATAGTCTCTTTGGCTAATCCTTCCAGATCTAAGTGTGTGTTCCTGTCATTAATGCTTTTGGTTACAAGTTTGGCACCAGGGGGCAGTTCCCCCTTTAAATTTGCAGCATTTGTGCTCTTTCACAGGATCATTTCTTCTCTAGATTCTCCTTTTTAAAAGTGCTGTTTCTTAGGCATATGGCCCCACTTACTACAATTCGCTTCTGTGATTTTGTTCTGCATTGCCGGGCTACTTGTCACACCATAGGATTTACCTTTGACCCTCGTATCCCTCAGCTTCGTTCTGTATTTCTGATCACTTGCATAGATACTCAGGGGTTGGCCTGGCTAATGTAGGCTCTTTTGTCATTAAAACCCTCTGGTGGTGTTAATCTTAAGAATTCCTTTACTCACCCAACTAAAAGTGGTTGTGTGTTGTCATAAACCTTTTGATTAGCTTTAGTCAGGACACTTGTGTTCTGAAGTTGCCTAGAATACAGTAACACCCTCAGTATGACAGATCTGTGGCACCTCAGTTCAGTGCAGTTACGCTTTATTGGGTGTCTTTAAAGCTTCGAGCTCTGTGCTGTAGACACAAAGGTGAATGAGACATGCATGGCCTGGAGGCTCGGGGGAGACACAAGGGCATATACTCAAATTCCAAGGGACACTAAGTGACAAAAGTGACAGGCGCAGCCAGATGGGTGCTGGGGTCAGATGGTATAGGGAATTAGACTCCTGGAGAGTTGAATACTTGAAATGATCGACTCTTAAATTTGGTCTTGCTTGGCAAAGCCATGGTCCACTTGTTACATATCAAAAACGAAGAAGCCATTGTATTTGTCTTCACTAAGTCTTGGGACCCCTTTGGTGGTAAGGTAAGTCTCCCCGTTCTCTGGGTGTTCTTAATCTTTGTTGTGGAGCGTCAATAGTTTCTCAGCCTTTGATAAAAGATGAATAAAAAGATGTTTTTAAAAACCCACTTATAGGGACCAGGGGCTTAGTTTAGCTCAGTGATGCAGTGCCTGCCTGGCAAGCATGAGGTCCTGAGATCAGTTTCCAGCACCCCTTCCCCAAAACGAAGCCCACTTATAGAACTAGGGATATAGTTCAGAGTAGAGCTTTTGCCTGTCTCATTTAAGGTGCTAGATTTGGTCCCTAACACTGCAAAAACACCTGCCATCTATAGCATGAAGTGGAAAGTCTGGCTTCCTGTACAGTTTATCTCTCAGGTAGGTCCTTGGCTCCCTCTACCAGCTTAATTGCTATCCTGAGCCACTTCTCTTCAGAAAACTTGGCCCTGTCTTGGAGGGCAACTCCCTCCTGGTAGCCCAGCTGTGCTCAGGCCTCAGGTGTGGTTTGATCCGAGCAGAGCAGGCTGAAGGACGGCGGCCTGCCCTGGCTGCTCTCCTTCTACGAATGCAGCTGAAGATCCCATTGGTGTCTTGGCAGCAGTACCCACTGTTGACTCGTATTAGCTCTCTGTTGACTACATCGCTGGCATCGCTTGTGCTTGGGCGGCTGCTGCTCAGCCCCGCCTCCGTGGCCTGCGTGTGCAATCTTCCAACAAGCAGCTCTGTGCAGAAAGCTGTCAGGATGTGTGGCTGGCTGGTTAGCACTCCCGCCATGCCTTGCGGGGTTCGGCTGGTTGTCCTTTGTAGCATTTGGCGCAGTTATTCTTGCTGTATCTGAAACTTGGCCTTGACTCATTGAGGAATAGTGCAGACGTGAAGAATGCCAGTGTTATCTTCCAGCCTGGCTATGCTGCCTTGGGCAACTTCAGCTCTCTGAGTATTGATTTCCCAGTTTTTAAAATGGGAGGATTAAATGATGAAAAGGATATAAAAAGCCTTGATAAACAGCAAGTTGCTATAGGGTTGCTGGGAGTTTGCATTTTTACAAACTTCTTATTTTTCCTCTTTGGAAAGAATTGGAAGAAAAAAAAATTCTAGAAATGGCCACTAGAAAAGCAAAAATAAAACTATGCTAGGCAGGAGTTGCTTGGGTCTTTAGTGGAAATTGGAAACTTTGTATAGTATGAGGTATGCTTTTTCGAAGTTTCACCTTTGAAGAGCAAAGAATCCCCCCACAAGCTCTCAAAACCGGGGCCTCTGCTCCAATAGAGTACACACAACGCAACACGAAGGTCAGAGGTCTTATTTGAAGCTGAAGGAACTGTAGATAATACATGTTACATCCCTTATGTATATGGGAAAATGAGGCCTTCGGGCATAAGGTGACTTCTCTTTAGTGAGTAGGTAGAACAGTTGGAATGGACAACTTTGGGAACCCTGTTTGGCCATTGAAGATACAGAGCATGAGTCAAGATTAGGATGCTAGTGTGAGCACCCCTAGTTCTCACACATGAAAGGAGTCAGGATAGTTCCAGGCAGTTGGAAGGATTGATTTTCCTAAACAGTGGGAAATGAACAAAATGATTCTCAAACTTCACTGGAGGTAAAGTTCATCGGGGATTTTTTTTTTTTTTTAAGGTTTTGTGGTATCAGGTGGAGGTCTTGCTTTGTGGCCAAAGCTGGGCTCAAACTCCCAGGCTCAATGATCCTCCTGCCTCAGTCCCTCAATTATTTGGACTACAGGCAGTGCTACTATACTTGGCTCCCTGGAATTATTTTCTTTCAATTAAAATTCCTAGAACCCTCCCCAAGAAGTTCTGATTCAGTGGTTCAGGAAGCTGGGGTTTTAATAATAAAGTATACCCACTGCAGGTGATACTAGTAAAGAGGTCCCTTCACACCCTCTAAATGCCCTGATTCTGGTTCTGAGTACTTAGGGCAGCTGGACCATAAATTAAAAACCCCTGTGAGTCTGGTGGGGCGTTTTGGCAGTGTGAGTCAGGTTGACCTGACTTCGGGAGCCTGTTTGAGCTGCAGCTGAGTGGAAACTGGGCTGGAGGAATGTCTTGAGCGCTGTTGTGTCATGGCAGTGGT